CTTCCAAATTAAAATAAACTGGAGAACAAAGAAAGCTCATCTGCCAAACTTGGTTCAGAAATATATAAACCAAGCAAATATAGCCTTCGTGAAACATTACGGGGGTGGTTTGGCCCCTACGTGAAAAGTGGTCAGAAATCTTCGGAAAATCGTCAAAACGTTGTCATTAGTATGTTTATATAATAAACAGAATATTACATGCCCGCTTGTGGATACGAATGTTATCTTCTCTTGTTCAACTTAATATCTCGTTCGTTCGCTGTGCTCACTCGTGAGATATCGAGTTGAACACTCGAAGATAAAATTCGTATCCACGCGCGGGCATGTAATATCATCTATGTAAATTGTTAATACCCCCCTATATATGTGGGAGGCGCGGTGACCTCATGGTTAGTGAGCTCGACTTCAGATTGAGTGGTCCTTGCCGGGGACATTGTGTTGTGTTCTTGGGCAAGACGCTTTACTCACAGTGCCTCTCTCCACCCAGGTGTATATTGTTGAACTTCTTTTGACCGGTTTACTCAAGATAAGGTTAGACAACTAATTTACTCCTTGCTTACCAACATTTTTGAAATGATGCATGCTAGTGTAAGGAAAGAAAGGAAAAACCAGCTCGATGGGACGAGACTGAAATAGACTTCGGCCACGACTTTTAAATGCAAAGCCTTAGAAATCAGCTTTTGTCAGCAAAATCAACCATGACATCATTCAAGAGAAAAGGGAGTTTCGTTTTTCGCGCCCTGACATAGTGCCCTTTCCGAAACCAAAACTACACATTCTTGGACTGTGAGTAAATTAAAACAATCGGAGTTAATGCTCAACTTGCAAACTTTAACTTGCGCAGCTATTATCTATTTTTTGAGACTATGATTGCTATTTTAGTAATGTTACGATCGCGGATCAAAAAATTATATTACTATGTGAATATCTGCTCCTGAAATGAAAAATAGAATATGTACAATTGTAATTTTTGGATTTGCAGCAAAATACAAGAACGTCACACGTCAAAGATATGCAAATCTTAATGAATTACATGATATTTTTTAAAAGAAGTTTAAAAAAGAATAACGTACCAGAAAGCATCAGAATTTTAACATCGACATAACGTAAAGTACTATTCTTGGGGGAAGGGTAGGGAAGGGGAATTGTGCGGAGCAGCCCATCTTTAAGCATATCTTAGATCAAGATTTGCGACGTTCCGTGTTCTATATATCTGCGCGCCTCCCGCCACCTTTAAATCAAGTCTCGCGATGATCGAACTCAAAGGTAAGGTTATCTTAAAGATAACGCTACCGAAAAGAGTTTCCAAAATGTTTTTGAGAACTTGTCAATGTTTGGGTGCGTTCTTGCGGAAAATTTTTAAAGCAAAATAAACTCGTTTATTTTTGATAGAAATGAAGATGTATTTACACTTCTGATACTCAGCAACCACATGTTTATGTATATCCTCGTTCACTATCATCATGAATGAAATCAGCAGTTCCCTCAAATAAAAACATCTCAGTGCATGGGATTTTGACCGCGGTAAAACCTTCTCGCTCAATTATCACGCTTTCGATCGCCAGCTACAAGGTAAAAGGAAAAGTTAAGTCTGCATACGAGCTAAGTGGCTCATGAGGCCGGCGCTTATCTCCGGTTTCTGTAGGATGAAGCGACTAGGAGTATTTCTACTCCGCCTTATACGGGATGCTAGTCCATTGCAGGGTTACCCTCAGCATTAAGTTCGTCGGTACCCATTTATACACCTGGGTGGAGAGAGGCACTGTGAGAGTCAAGTGTCTTGCCCGAGAAAACAATACAATATCCCCAGGGCTCGAACCGGGACCGCTCGATCCGGAGACGAGCGAACTAACCAGGACGCCACCACGCCTCCAGATAGACAACTACACAGGATTGTCTATTTTGCTGGGAAGTCATGTGATGAAGTTGGAAGATCTTAATTGTTCTGAAAAAAAGAATTTTTTTCGCACCGTCACTGGGAGAGAGTATGCGTCGATCCGAGTCAGAGAAATGTTGCGACACGGTAATCGAAGTATTCAAAATGTCACTGAGCTGTTTTGCACTATCGGTTTAAAATTCAAATTTTGCTATTGACAAACATTTTTCCAGAACTGCTTAGCCCCATTAGATCTTGACAAGAATTTTATTTCTTTCTTTCTTTACCCTCAACATTCTTGCCTTCAACATTTTTTCCCCTAGCATTGAGCTTCAGAATGGCCGTAGAGCGGTTGGCCTCTTCCAGACGTTCAGTTGGTTGGGGCGCAGCGCGAAAATCAGCGCGCGAAAAAAAAAGGCTTTTTTCATTTTTTCGCGCGCTGTTTTCCGCGCTGCGCCCCAACTAACTGAACGCCTGGAAGAGGCTATAGAGCGGTCGACACGTCGTTCATTTTTATCTGTTATCTTTTTTTTTTTTTTTTTACCGTGAAACGGTTTCAAAATACGCATTTTAATCACAACTTTCAAATTATTTATCATTCGACCGAGATTTCTCTAGTCTTAAACATACAATTGGGGCAGCGATCTTATTTTAAAAAAGTACAATCAGTGACAATAAATAAATAAGTAAAATGATAACTTTATTTAACTGCTAGTGCACATTTACTACTTCACAACTTTTTTTGGAAACTTTAAGGAGCTATAATAGTTTCTGCAACAAAATTCTCGATCGTGATTGGTTCTCCCCGCGCTTATTTGTCACGCAATCGGCATGCGATCATGTGGGTGTCCAATTA